TAGGCAGAAACTTTAAAAAAAAATTAATAAAAATGGCATGCTTCTTTCTTTAGATTCAGATTAATGTAATTTTCCAAACCAAACAGCTTCTTTGGAAACACGGTCAATGACTGTTTAACAATGAGGAAATCAGGCTTCCAGTTATGGAATGAGTAAGTCATGGGGATAAGAGGCACAGTGTGGGGAGTATAGTCAGTCTTACTATAATTACGTTGTGTGGTGACAAATGGTAGCCGCACTTGTGAGTACAGCATAATGTTTAGAGTTGTTGGATTACTGTTTTGTACACCTGACACGAATGTAACATTGTGTCAACTAGGCTTCAGTTTTTAAAAATTAATTAACGTTTTTCAATGTGGAAATGAGATGAACCATCTTACAGAGGGGAGGACTGTACCATGCATTGAACAGATTTGGTATTTAGGGAACAGTACAACATCAGGGGACTTATCCCTGCCAATTGTTAGGTTTGGTTGGCTATATAGTCTCTGGGTTATGCAATTTACAGGTTTACATTAAAAAAAAAAAAAAAAGGAGGAGGAGGGGGCGGAGGAGGAGGAAGCAGAAGAAGAGAATTGAGTCTCATTGGAGAGATAGACAATAGAATATCCTCGGTCTCTTGTCCAAGACACACACTCAGCCATTCTTGGTATGCCATATGGGAAGGCAGCACTGTTTGCCAGCTTTGGAACTTTGAGCAAGTTACTTCACCTCTTAGCACTTCCATTTCCTCCCCTAAGCAGTTGGAATCATACCTATTTTTCACATGTGGCTGGGAGAATTGGAAGTAACAAACATAAAGCCCCTGCTGTCGTGCTAGGCACAGAGTGGGCTCACAGTAATTGGTGATGTTGCGGGTTTATGGCTATTCTTGATGCTCAGATATCCAGATAATGAAGAATAAATGCAAATGTTATTGCCTTACGTGGGACTCTTACTGTATGTTCAAATGTACAAGTCCCTTTTTATTTTAGTGCATTTTTATTTAAATGAGGTAATTTGCCTCAAAAGTACTTATTAAAATGTAACTTGACTTGATCCATCAGTCATGTTGTAAAACATCCTTTTGAAAACTCTTATGCACATGCAATTAATACCTTTAATCTCCTTTGACCTCCTATTCCTTTTGATTTGAATAGGTAGGCAGGGAAATGTTGTATTACCATCCCCATTTCACCTCATCCGGGAGCTAATCAAAATGAGATGACCAGTTGAATTTGTCTGGTGTCTGACAGAATATACCAACAGACACTTTGAATTTTTAAGGTGAAAAGCTAGAGCTCACATAAGCCAAGTGAACTGCTTCTCTTTATTAAACTACTGAATTACCTTAAGATTTATGCCTGAGACAGAATTATAAAAATGCCACTGTTGATGTGTCCTGCATAAAGAAAGAAAGAAAATCAGAGGCAAGTTAGAGCCCCTCTTCTTTTAATCTCTGAGTTTTTAAGCTCTTTTTCTATAGCCAACCACAAGACCAAGCTTTGTCTTCATACATCCACTTAGAAATTCAAGAAACCAAAATCTCCGCTAATAGGTAAGTGTAGTAAAACTAAATACATAATAGTGGCAATAAATTCAACGTACATTCCCAGGGGGAAAGGCTCAGTGTTAAGTGGTTCACTTGCAACTCTCCTGAGTCATCAACTGTATAGTTCCCTGGGGAGTAGTGAAAGAGAACTTATCAATACTTCTCAGAAACCAAAAGGATGTTATGCACTGTGAGTGGTTAGGTAGGAATGACCGTGATAGACTGTAAAATTGAGGATGGTTCAGTTGTATCATGTAACAACTGGTGTGTCAACCGCTGCTTTTATTTTAAAGAACATATAGGCAAAGGATTTCTGGACATCCCCTGGTTAATCTCATGCTTTAGAAGGCAGCATGAAACACCGATTTTAGAATATTCTTAGTTCACAAATATTCTCTTTAGGCCCATACACATGCTATCATCCTAAAACACAAAGAGTCTAAAAATATTAACTTTGTAATACTTTTCTGTCAGAAGCCATGGTGAGGCCTCATTTAATTCCAGGGAAATATAAATGGAATCAGGCTTAGTGATAACTCTGGCCAAGTTCAGGAATGATCAGATTAGACATTTAAAACTTTGGGAAGGAAAAACATCTAATCAGTCTGAATTTCACTTATAATTGGGAAAATAGAATCCAAATCCATGTTTGAAGTCTATATACCTTATAGGCATTCTCATAACCTTCAAACACTTACTATGAAATTATTACCTTTTTTTTTTTTACAATTCCATGATTTCTGGTAAATATACCAATTTGTGCAACCATCATATAAGGTTATTTTCCATAGAACTTTATTCTTGGGCTATTTGGGAGAAAAATCACCTATTAAAGGCTTGTTAGTGGTGAGAACACATGCCATTGGTATAGTACTAGGTACTTTTCAGGTTTTTTTATTGTAAAAGTGGTGCATAATAATTAAAAACACATACTCTAGAAACAGGGATTCTGGCTTCAAATCTCATTAGCCACTGGCTGTGTCATGTTGAGTACCCTAAGTGCCCAACTCTTAGGGCTGTTGTGATTCTTAATGACTTAAGACACATAAAGTTCTTAGAACACTACCTGGCCTATAGTATGTCCTATGTGATTCTTTGGTCTTAGTATTTTCATTTCCCTGATGAGGAAAATGACACAGAGAAAAATGTCCTGAAGTCACACTAATGCAGTGTCACACTAATCCAATGTCACACATCTAATGACACTTGGGACAGGCTGAACAAGATGTACCTCCCAGCATTGCCTTTAGGATATGGCTACTGAAAAAATCCAAATTTTTAAATAAAATGCATATTTTAGATATCCTTCCCTAAGTATGCTTGAAGCCTCTTGACTATAACTGTAAACCAGTTAGTAATTACTAAAAAACTCTAGTTATTCTTGGGGCACCTGTGTGGCTTCGGGTCCAGAGACTCTATCTCTGGGTCCTGGGATCGAGCCCTGCGTCAGGCTCCCTGCTCCGTGGGAAGCCTGCTTCTCCCTCTCCCACTCCCCCTGCTTGTGCTCCCTCTCTCGCTGTCTCTCTCTGTCAAATAAATAAATAAAATCTTTAAAAATAAATAAATAAAGTAGCTTACTCTGTTGTACTGCATCAAAGCACTGTCATTAGTGATGACATACCAAGATTGATGGTCAAGACCAGTGTGAGACCAAGAAACCATTGTCCAGTACAAATGGCCTTTTCTTTGCAAATCTAAAGGAAAAAAGAGGTCCCGTTAATATTTATGATTTAATCAAGGTCAATGTTCATAGAGCAGTCCTATAAAACCACTTACATGCTATATATGATCACAAAGGAAAAGCAGTTGGTCACCCCTCTCTCTATATATATCTTCATTTTAATATTTTACTTAAAACTTTAGTAACTTGAACAAGATATGCCCCCAAAGAAGTTGTTCTATTTCTGCCAGCCTTTAGCATTATTTTATAATTCATATCAAAAAGAAAGCTAACTAATTTCTTCCTGAAGATACTGAAATAATACTGGATTATTTATGTGATGACGGTGGTAGTGATGGTGATACTGATATCTAACACTTAACTTTGCACTTTCTATATCTGGATGTTTCACTTTGCACTTCTTAAAAATCATTTCATACAGACCTCAAATTAATCATCAGAGGGAGAAATACTTATTAGCCTTAACTGAAGAGAAGACTGAAGTGTGTAAGCAATTCAGTAACTTATCTAAGGTGAAAACGTTTCATAAATGCAAGACCAGGATTCAAATCCAGGTTTATCTGACTCCAAAATCTGTATGCTTAACAATTAGTTGATATTCCCATCCAGTATATTCCCTTAGAAGACAGTCCTATTTAAGACCAGTGACAGTTGGTATGCAACTTTATTTAGTAAATGATTTTCATGTATTTTGTTTCCTCTGTTGGTTTTACTGGTATAAAGTGTTGGGATAATTAAATTTGTAGAGGGTAAAAATATTGATTGGCATATTAATATTTATCATTTAAAAAAGATGATATCTGAGACAGGTTATCAAAGATCCCTGTACATGTGGACTCTTACAACCACTTAAGACCAGCGAACTTCAGATGTTTTCACAGTTCTGCAGAATGGTTTATACTGTGGTCGAATCACGAAAACCTTTTTAATCTCTGTTGGCAAACAAAGGAATATTATTAGACACCTGTGGTGAGAACCACACAGAAATGTCAGTACATTTTTCTATTATTTTCCGGGCTTGCCCTATTTGCAAATTTAAGTATCAGCACCCAGAAATTTAAGCCATCATCTTATGTAGGGAATACTAGGTATTCACAGTTTCTCTATCCTATGCTCCCGTATTTCCATGTTTGAGCCTTTTTGTTTCAGACTTCCTAGTCAATATACCAGTATATTAGCTCTTTAATATTCACTATTTATTTTTGACCCCAACTTCCATTTTGCCGTATTTTTGCCTCCTTGGTGAGAGGTAAGTATATCCCTGACACTGCTGTGTATGGATCCCATTTTCTGCGTTGGTCCCGTGCTCATCTTTGCCTGCTGTTAACACTCGTGTTAGATTTATAACCACACTTCAAAACCATATAGCACCTTCCTGCTAATCATGCCCAACTTCCTCTTATTTTCAATCCCCATTTTTCATTTACCTCAGTTTCTTAATCTTTTTGTTTTTATCCATTTTATGAATTTCCATAAGCCCTCTCAAATTTTAGAATGACTGTTAGACCTGGCCCTGGAAGAATATGATTGGATAGTGATTAAATGTACCCATTTCCACTTCTCCCAATAGGAAAACAAGCTTAATTGGTATCCATTCCTAAGAAGTAGAAACTGATTGTATCTCCCTGAAATATCTTCTATTTTTAAGTCATCTATTGGTCTTTATCTTTATTAATTCTAGGTAGGTGTATCTTTTCCTAAGAAGTGCTTATTGGAGTTTGTATTTTAACTTCTTTGGGTTAATAAAAGGAAAACTGAAGCATCAGCTAAGTTACTTTTCCTTTGTAGCGTGGAGACGATCAATGATGGAAACTTTCACATTGTGGAGCTACTTGCCCTGGATCAGAGTCTCTCCCTCTCCGTGGATGGAGGGAGCCCCAAAATCATCACCAACTTGTCAAAGCAGTCCACTCTGAATTTTGACTCTCCCCTCTATGTAGGAGGTAAGATCTGTTCCAAATCCAGTAAGTCCCCAAAAACCCTGTGATTCTCATCCTAGACTAATTCTGAAATTGTTGATCCCTGGTGTCATGGCCGTCGACCCATAGTGATCAATCACTAAAAGATGGACAGCAAGGATAGAAAAGAGCGAGTGCTGGATGTGTGTTAAGAGACCTGTTTTGTGTCTGTCTCAACCTATTAATAACCAATGTCATGGTTGGACAGGTTCTTGTGGTTCTTGTGATGACTGCAAAGTACCCATCAGCAATAAGCATCAGGAAACTTTGAAGAAAAACTAGAGGTTTATTACTTACAAGACCTGAAAATTATACAGCACACCTGTGGCCACACAGCGAGCTCTTAAGGAAAAAGAGAGTGAGTGAGAGAGCGCATGTGTGAGAGCAAGAACACACAGGCCTGGAGTGCTGCTTTTATTGTGTCATGCTAGAAAGAAAAAGAAAAAAGTTCTGTCAGATCTTACCATCTAGATTGTCTGTGCTACCGGTTGCCAACTCATAGATGGTAGGAATAATTATTAACAAAATCAAATGATGAATGAATGAATGAATGAACAAATGAATTAAATATTCAGCTTGTATTGGGGTAACAGGAAGTACTTATGGTTAGCTAAGACATTAAGGTGAGTGCACAAGACAGAGGGTTGGGAAGGTGGACTACGGGTTGGAATGATAGAGTGAAGATTCTGGACTTTATTTGTAACCAACCAGAAGGCAGTTGAGGAACAGGTGAAGAACAGAGATGTGGGCAATGTTCTGAAGGAGCCCAGAGGAGAGGACCCACAACGGAGAGAGCTTTCCTCTACTGGGGGAAAGGAGGGGAAATGGAAACTGGAGATCCAGAATTTCAGTTTCCAGGCAAAGGAGCAAGAAAGCATATGATGTTGAATTGAGTAGCATTGAATTAAATCACATTGGATTGAGGTGAATTGAGTGATAAAATTAACTCATTTTACAGAGACGTAAGCTGAGGTTCCTGCGCAGGTCAGTGTAACTGATTTGCTCAGCAGGACAGGCATTTGCACAAAGTTTGCACTAATTTTCTGCAAAATAGTAACCTTGGGATTCTACATATTTATGTTATCCCTTCAGAGACTTCCTTGAAAGCATTTTTGGAATTGTCCTGAAAGTCCAAAGCACTTCTGTATTTTTGTAATTTTCAGCATTTGAAGATCTTAACATTTTGAAAGAATTTTGGATTTTTAGAAACCATTAAAAATCTTGGTTCAGTTCCATAAATATTTATTTAGTACCTACCATGTGCTGGAAACAAAGTCAACATACATATAAGGGTTACAATGTTGAAAAAGAAATAGCCCTCCTTTGCCCAGGGGAGTGGGAAAAGCCGACATGTCTTCAAGGAACCATAGTGCATTGGAAAAAAAGTATTGCATACTAAGTCTGCTCAGCAAGTTGACTGATCTCATTGCTTCATGGGAATCACAACTAAGAGATGCATTTAAAAACAAGCCTCCATTTCTTGCCTGCACTACTGTTAACAGCCATTCCATTGGGATGGGTAAAGCAAGTCACACATAGATATACCTGTGGTTTGAAAGAAAAGAAATTATACTCACTGAACACATTTGATTTGTCCAACACAATGCTTCTTTACAGTCTTAATCCTCAGAGACTTTAGGCACCAGGTATGATTTTTTGTTTCATGATCCCGAAGGGACAGCCACAAGGACTTTACAAAACGTGTCCAAGTTCACAGAGCTATGAAGTAATAGAGACCTCATTTGAGTCCAGGTCTGGTCTGTCTGACCCCAAAGCCATCTGTCTGCATTTCCACTCACTTTTTAACATAGAGCAGAAAGGGAAGCAATCTAGGTTTTGTGGCTTTTTGTTTATTTCTGGACTTGTCCTTCACTTGATTTATTGTGCTTTCATCAGAAACAATTTCACTGAATCTTGTAAAACTCCTTTATGATGCAGTGAGGGGGGGTGGGGGGACCCTACAAAATGGGAGTGCTTAGGTCAGAACATTTCTCAAAAAAGGAAAAAAAAAAAAAGCTTTACATTCCAAACTGAAAAGTGCCAATCTTTCTTAGGATAGAGGGTCTAGAAGAATCCAGATAGTACCTCTGTCCATCCAGGCCTGAAGGAAGCCTCACTGCCAGAGAACATAGTGGGCCCATTTCCTTCCAAATCAGAGCACAGGGTAATTCAAATTTAAAAAAAAAAAAATACAATGTAATCATAAGATCCCAGCCCTGAATTCGAGGTGGCAAAGGCAGAAGAAACTGACTTAGCAAAGGAGAAGGACCTTGGTAACTAAGCTCATCTTTTTCTCCAAATTTGAAAACGCACATGTCTGAAAAAAAGACCATCCCTGTTTGGACTTAAAGTCCACACATTTATGATGAATGGATATGATAGAGTTAGAAGAACTTATCCCAGAACAAAGAATTTTCTTTCACTTGGGCTTTCCTGGAAATGGTACATTTCAGATTTTTTGAGCCTGCTCTAGAAAGCAACACTGTTCCCAAGGCCAGAGGGACATGGACTAAATGTCTGAGGTCATGGAAGTTCAAAGCCAAGACCCCTAATTCGGTACCTGTCGAAGCGTGACCAGGGAGCACTTGCATCAAAATCAACCAAGCTGCATGTTAACATTTAGATTCCTGCACCCCACCCCTTCCTACCAGTTAGACTCAACGCGAGCAGAGAATTTGGCCTGGAAAGCCGCCTTCTGAACATGGACCTTTGGTGGATCTCGGAAACAGTTGTTCTGGTCCATCCACTCATGCTATGGACGAGAAGACTAAGCCCCACAATGGTTGGAAATAACTGGCTCATGCCTACACAGACCAACAATGAAGACATTGACCTTGAGCCAACCTGGTGGTTTTTTGTATATCTGCCTGTCTGGTGTTGATGCTGCTAGAACCCAAACATGGCTCCTTTGAATAGAGAAAGTGATACTGCCAGAAGGCAGGCCCCATCATTGCTGAGGGTCCCAGTCTTTAGAATCAACCAGCCAACCCTCTGGAGAGTGAGAACGGAGTCTTCCCCAGCCTGTACCCTCCAGCCAGTAGCTCAGAGCCCAGGCAGAGCGAGGCGGTAAGCGCCAGGGGCAATCATCAGCCACCCTGAAGGCCTCTGGCTCCCTCCCCTTACCCCACTACAGTCTGGATGTTTGCCTGGGGTAGGATCCTATCCAGGAACTATTTCAGGGTCTGGCTTAGGCCATGGAAAGATTCCTCAGTTTTGCCAAATGAAGGTTACCAGATGACTGTCACCAGTGGAACTTATATATGCAAAGACTGCAAATTCTGTTTTTGGAGGAATTTCTTTTGTATTCCTGATTTCTTGGCATATGAACGTTTCACTCTCAATTAGCAAGAAAATGAAAATGACGTGAATGAGGTGCTGCCATGATAGGAAGCATGGGTGAGCTTCTCAGACGCCAACCAGCACCGCTGGGCTCAGGATGTTGCCGGTGGTGAGCCGGATTGGTTGCCAGCTTAGAATTTGGCAGGGCTGGTGTGAAAGGTCACTGTGAACCCAGATCTCACCCCCTCAGACTGGATGGACGGAACCATGACCCTAGAGATTGCGAGGCTCACTCATCCGCTGATCTGCAGCCTGGTCTTATTGGGTGACATTGAGCATGTCGCCTCAGGTATCACTGCGCTTTCTGGAGCTCGGCTTCCAGGGCGTGTGTCCGGGCTGAAGAGGTGGCTGGAGAGAGGAGGGAGCCCAGATTTCTCCCCAATTCCTGATATTGCCTCTAGCTACAGTAGGTCTGCTTTCAGGTTTTATACATTGATGCCTCCGTGTAAGGTTTTATTTGGAACAAATGTGAAAAATTAAGAGACTGGCCGCCAATGAACTTAGTTCTTTATTCTAGCTGTGCATTAGAATTGCCTGGAGCATCTTCCAAAAATCAAATGCAAACAAAGAACCAGCCGTCTCTTCTCCCTTCCCCCACGCTGCCCAGATAACCCGATGAAGTAGGTCTGGGTGGAGGTTCCAAGTTCAGTATTTCTCCGATGATCTCCGGTGATTCTAACGTGCAGCCAGGTGGAGGGAGAACCACAGGCCTGGAAGCTGATGATCTCTGGTTGTCCTAAAGGAGTGTCACCCTGACTGCCACCTTGCTGGCAGAGCTCAAAGGGTCTGGCCGGTGGGGGCCAATTGCTGAGGATCTCCCCCCCGCAACCAAAGAGCCGAACCTCTGACCCGGTGTCCCTCCGCAGGTATGCCAGGCAAGAACAACGTGGCCGCGGCACTGCGCCAGGCTCCCGGGCAGAACGGAACCAGCTTCCACGGCTGCCTCCGCAACCTCTACATCAACAGCGAGCTGCAGGACTTCCGCAAGGTGCCCATGCAGACCGGCATTCTGCCCGGCTGTGAGCCGTGCCACAAGAAGGTGTGCGCGCACGGCACGTGCCGGCCCAGCAGCCAGTCGGGCTTCACCTGTGAGTGCGAGGAAGGCTGGACTGGGCCCCTCTGTGACCAGAGGACCAATGACCCCTGTCTTGGAAATAAGTGAGTTCGAGCTGCACACATACACATATACCCCAGCCCTCAAAACAAAAGCCAGGAAGGGAGGGAAAGAGGGACAGAGGAAGAAGGGAAGGAGACGAGGGGGAGGGGAGAGAGAGAGAAGAGAAGGAAGTCAGCCCCTTGGACCAACTCCTTCCTACTCCTTCCATCACCCTTCCTCCATTCTTACTCCCTCTGCCTAATGCACGTGCATTCTTGCCTTCCTCCTCCACTGTAGATGTGTGCACGGCACCTGCTTGCCCATCAATGCGTTCTCCTACAGCTGTAAGTGTCTGGAGGGCCACGGGGGTGTGCTCTGTGATGAAGAGGAGGATCTGTTTAACCCCTGCCAGGCGATCAAGTGCAAGCATGGGAACTGCAGGCTCTCGGGACTGGGGCAGCCCTACTGTGAATGCAGCAGTGGATACACCGGAGACGGCTGTGACCGAGGTAAGCCGACCGACCTGGGCACCACCCTTTGAAGCAAGAGCCCCCCCCCCCCCCGCCATCTTTGAAAAGAGAGAGAAAGGGAGACAGACACACAGAGGAGTGATATGAGGAACACCGGGTCTAGGCAGGGCCTATAGTTGCGGCCGTTGATTGATTTCCCAGCGGCAGGAAGGCACCAGATGTGAAATGTCCTCAACCTCCACAGCCGGAATTGACACGGCCTTCAGTGATGTGCCGTGAAAAAATACTCCTTTTTACCTTTTGGTGCAGCACATTTACTTCCCTGCCTTCTTTCCTTTACCTGCCATCTGCATCCATTTATATAATTAATTCATCCCTGGCACAGAGAAGAGGCAGCTCATAATTCTGCTCTAGGTTTAAGACAAAGTCACCTTTGACCTTACAGTCAACTGATTGATCACAGCGCCGCGTGCAGGTGAGAGGGATGGAAACGTGCCGACTTGCGGGCCCACCTTTCTCCTTCTCCCCTGTCTGCGTGACCAGAAGGCGCCTCGCCCCCAGCTGGCAGGCCTTGCGGTCCGCGTGTCGGAGGGCCGAGGCCAGAGCAACGTGCCCGTGGGAGCTGTGAGCACATGTCTTTTTGAACTGGTTCATACCAGGGTAATTTATGAAGTTAGTGGAATGTTACTTGTATTAAGTAACAGATTGAATGATATTAAACCCCAGGTCTAATAAATTAAATTGCACACTCTCTGAAACGGCTCCTTGTGGTAAATGAAACCAGCTGTTAGTAGTGTAAAAACAGAAGACGTGCATTTCTGCAATAAAGGAAAAGATTTAGGAATCCAATTTTCTTGTCAGTCCAACAGCATAGTATTTATAGTCCACAGCAATAGTATTCACTTTGCAGAAAATAAAGGCCACCCCAACAACAACAACAAAAAGTATCTTTCAAGGGAACAGCAAGCTGGGTCACCCGCCCATTATATGGAGTATAAGCAGGCCCATGACAATCACGCTTACCCATGGCAAAGACAGCACCTCCTGAACCGGCTTGTGGACCCACAGCCCCTTTGTCGGGGACTCATAGCGACTGCCCTCAAAGTGCTTGTGCTTCCTGTTCTTTTCTAGAAATCTCTTGTCGAGGGGAGCGGATACGAGATTATTACCAAAAGCAGCAGGGCTATGCCGCTTGCCAGACAACCAAGAAGGTGTCCCGGTTGGAATGCAGAGGTGGGTGTGCGGGAGGGCAGTGCTGCGGACCTCTGAGGAGCAAGCGGCGGAAATACTCTTTCGAATGCACTGATGGGTCTTCGTTTGTGGATGAGGTCGAGAAGGTGGTGAAGTGTGGTTGTTCCAGGTGTGCCTCCTAATCGTGCCCCTGGCACCTTGTGTCTTTGGGGAATGTTGTCTACTTCTCAACCGCGGTGGACTCATTTATGCTTCATAGTGGAAATATTTGAAATATATTGTAAAATACAGAACAGACTTATTTTTATTATGAGAATAAAGACTTTTTTTTTTTTCTGCATTCTGGAAAAAAAAAAAATGCTTGACCTAACGCTTCCCCGGTGAGAGAGAAGTAGGAAGAGAGAGAGAACCCGGAGGCCTCGGCCCACGGGTGGGAAGCGTTGCGACGCGAATTCATCTTTGCAACATGCTGAAGACGAGGGAGAGCCGAGCTCCTGTGTGCTGCGTGACATCAGCACCCAGACCGTAAAGCCCCTGTGGCCTCGTGCCCGTCTCTGGGGCTGACGAGGACACACCGAGCACCTGTGTGGGATTGAGGATGGTTGAGGATGCAAGGTGGAGGAGTGGAACTCGAGAATTCACCGAACACGCGGTTGAGAAATATTCGGTGCAAAACAGTGTCCTTGAAGACCTGGGTTCTGTTCACGAGAGGGTTGGGAGAGCTAACCTAACAGGTGTATCTTCTTTTTAAACGTCAGCATGTTAGCAGAAGCAGCACACAAAAGTGTTTATCTACCGTTTTCCAGTATTAATTTTTTTGTAATATAAATGATAAAGGAGATGATAAAGAACCGATAGATTATTGATAAATAGTAATAATATGAATTTTTGTTTCTATGAGTTCAAAACAGCCCTATACAGTATGCAGTTCCAATGAGAAATATTTATTGTATCAAAGGACATTGTACTTAACATGGTAGGCCATTCTTTTACTGTTTCTCAATGCTTTAATATATATTAATTTATAATTGTCCTGATATTTTTGTATATTTTTCAAACTTAAAAATCAGGATTGGGGTGGGAGGGGTTGGCCATAGTACTAACATAGGCTGTTATATTGGGATAAATATGTGTTGATCGGTTTGTTTACCCTGACATCTGACCACTGGTGTCACCGACCTACTGGCCTCATTCAGGACACCTACAGAGAGTATGTAAAGTCTATGCGTGAGACGGTCTTTGTACAGAAAGAAGGGGCCAGCCCCTCTGCAGCGTGTCCTCCCAGAACAGAAATGGTGTGTAGCAATCGACACTAGAAAAGTAGATATTTTACAAATTAATATTTCCTTGACATTTTTTGCCCTTTTATCAGGGGCGGGGGGGGGGGGCAGAGAGAAAAGGCTGTAATGTCAAGAACTGTGATTTTCTTTTTCCAAACAATAAAGCTCCTTTATTACCTTAATGTTCCCATGTTAACGTTTGCTGCTAAATTACAATGTAGAATTGATAATGATTTATAGAGGACTGTGCTCTTCCCTTATGAAAATCCCAGGGTACCCTGTGAAGATGCAGCTGTTCCTTTCCAAAAACTTTTTTTATGCAGAAAATTAGATGTACATGTATAATTCAGTGTGCTTTGTCTTTCTCCAGACTAATATCAGTTATACTACTGATGTTTGTAAATTAAACAGATATTTACTTCACTAACAGCTTGGTGATTTTCTTAGAAAGTACAAAATATTTAGAGTCCCTCCTTAAGAATCTCTTCCTCAAAGTGATACAGAATGGACAGGGAAGAAAACCTGTATCCTGTTGTTGACAGAAATTGTTTTATGATTAGCATATTGTTGGACCGGGGGACTTTGGAATGGCCACATTGAAAGAGGTGGATAGAACACATCCTTTGCCATGAAAAAAGTACATATCCCACTAATTTCTTCCAAAAAAAATTATAAGGTGAAGTCTAACTAAACTACAAATGGTATTTTTGTTTTTGTTCTTCTTTCCCCTCAATTAGAACCAGATGGAAAACAATGAAAGACAAAGAGTGCCTTTCTCCACAAGCACTGGAGGCAAGGCTTAGAACAGGGAAAGAGCATGAATATTATTACTTAAGCACCGTGCCGGAACTTCTTCATTTTCCTATAAGGAAATCCTGCACATGCGCACACATATGCACACACGCGCACAGATGCCCGTTTATTCATTTTTGCTTAAAATGTCTGTATTTTCATTGTATAAATATAGGGTCTTGGTAAAACATTTATTTATTCCCACTGTTTGTTTCATTTCTTTCCAAGGACTGGGAATCACTCATTAAACAAAGAAACATCTGCAAAGATAACAGGAGTTAGATCTGTGTTTATAGGTATGTGTTATCTCAAGAGCCACTACTTTCGAGGGCTTATTATATTCCAGGCACTGTGACAAGGGCTTTATATGAAATAGCTCACTCTTCTCTCACTATGCACCTATGGGATGATTGGGATCCCATTTTGACACAGGCGTAAAGAGCTCGAAGACAGAAGAGCTGCATTCACCACGGGGTCCATATTCAGGGGATAGAGGGGGGCATCCTCTACCACGGGACTTTTAAACCCTGAACCTAATTTCCACAGCACAATTATTCTCCCTACCGATCGTGTCAATTGAAGTGGTCGAGATTAGAGATGTTTGGTTTTCTGTTTGTGTTTTTTAAGGAAAAAAAAGTGAAGTCTTAGTAGTTTCCTGACTGTATCCTTTCTCATTCCTGCTTCTAAGGGCACAAAACAGAATTATGATTGCCTGGGATTTGGGCTGAGTTAGCAAGTTTCTTAGGGGATCGTTTACCTCGTGATGAGACTGCATTCGGTACAGGAGCCCTCCTTTGAGAAAATCCAGTAGCCAAATAATTACTAGCAAATGAGACAAATTAAGGGCACTTATGCATGTTATAAAAAGCTCCACACTTATAAAGCCTTGACCATAGGATTCCTTTAAATAAGAAACTAATCTAGAGCATTTCCAACAGAATTCAATAGGTTAAAACAAAAAACATTTTGCCCATTTCAGAATCAAAGCTGTTACACACAACAATGGATGTTTGTAATCTGAAAAGATTAAGTGATTAAACATCCCTAATATGTTTACTTTAAATTCTCACATGAGTTGAGGCACCATCAGGGGATTTGACATGTGTTCATTGAATAATAACTATCTCAATCTTTGGAATTTGTGCTCACCCTACCTTTCCTGAAATTATTTCTAAGCAATGATACACTAACCTCAGTTTTAGAATTGCTCTGAGCATTCTGGTTTTTGTTTGTTTGGTTTTTTTTTTTTTTTTTTGGTTTTTTTGTATGGTTTGCTTTGTCAGCAGCAGCTCTTTCTAGAGAAATGATTGAAAGAAATACTGTTGAAATTGATTCAGGTCTTACAGATCTTGACCATTATGGAGTCCTCTACTCCACAGAGTGACCATTATATCAAAACTAATGTTTGTTAAAGGATATAAGCTATAAAAATATGTGAAGCTTCATATAAAGCTTTTTATAAAACCGATAAAACTATATAAAATACATAAGCTATATTCATTCTTAATCCCCTCTATATACTCAAAAGTCATTTGACAACACATTTTTATGATTTTATCTCCTATCATGTGCAAGAAACTATACTAAACTTTCGATACATAGTTCAGACAAACCAGGCATCACTTCTGCCATCTTAGAGCTCACGGCTCTCTGTGCACTTCGAGTTGAGGCTAAAGTGAGTAACAAATATTATACAAAGGACCAAACTACTTATAATTTCAGATTGTGGTTAAGTGCCCTGATGGAAATTACGAGATACTAGAAAAGCAGAGCAGAGGAATCCAATTAAATACATATCGGGAGGTCAGTGAATGACTCTGTGAGGAAGCAATGAACAATAAAGTAGGATCCAGAATAGAGACTGATGGAAATATGTGAGGGTGTCAAAGCTGGAGGTCAATGCAGAGACAGCAACCTGTGTCTAAGCCTGAGGAGGGAAGGAACTCCTATGTGATTAAGGAAACAAAAGAAGTTCATGTGGCCAGAGTGAGGCATAGATTACTCTTCTGTGTATAATACAACACAGGCAATTTTCTGTCTTCATTAACTCACCTTTAATAGTCTGTATTTTTCTTGTGATCATCTGTTTGCAGTGATCTTTCAAAATCAACAAAAATGGATTTCCATTTTAAAACAGCAAGTAGTTAGTTTTGTTTAATGCGGTTCCTCAACTTCCAAATGAAATAGCTCTGAAGACACAAAGAATATGAATACTTAAAATAGCACTGAAAATTAAGAATAATATTCCTGGAATCTCCAAGGAATTTTCATGAATTCAAAAGTGGATGAGGCTAGATTGAAAGAAACAACTGCTGGCCAACCCATGGTTGGAGACTCGTGTGCATTCCTTTCTCTGTACACCAACACCAAAGACTCAGGAAATGAGTCAACAGGAAAATCATCAAAAAAATATTCGTGCATTTAGGTGCCACTTTGTGAGTTTGCCAGAGGTCTGTGCCTCCAACCAAGGAGGTAAAATCTTCCTTCAACTATTAGGATGTTCCACTTCCTGTCAAAGAAACGAAAACAGTGCAAGAAATACTAGAAGACCAGTTGTGTTGTACCGAATATTGAGAGATGTAGTCTCTGTAAATAAATTATTGTAGATGTGGACTGAGCCTGGAAGAGCCACAGTAGTAATGCTTGCTTAGAATGGTATGGAGGGGGCGCCTGGGTGGGACAGTCAGTTAAGCGTCCCAACTCTTGGTTTCGGCTCAGGTTGTGATCTCGGGGTCATGAGATTGAGACCCATGTAGGGCTCTGCACTCAGCATGGAGTCCACTTGAGATGCTCTCTCCTTCCCGCTCATGTTCTCGCTCTCTCTCTTTCTCTAAAATAAATAAATCTTAAAAAAAAAAAAAAAAAAAAGTGGTATGGAAAGAGGGAAGTACCTTACCGATTCAGAAGACCAGAGAAAAGTTGCATTATATTGACTCACTATTAAGCTAATAAAATGGTGAAAATTTACAGGCCATATTTGGGGATGAGGTCTACAAAGTTCAGAAAACTTTAGTGGGCAATGGTAGTCTATGAAGATTATCTCAGTAGGAGAATTGTTCACACATGTGTTATAGGAATTTTAGTTGATAGCATGATATAAAGTGAATTGTTCAGGTGGCTATTTCTTAAGTCTGAAAAGAAGGTAAAAGCCGAGAATAGGAAAAGAAAGAAAAACAATGGCAAATGAATCAGAAAAGACAGAAGAGACTGCACTGTTACGGTGGAAGAATTAACAATTCACGATGACACCGGGCATGTTTGGCAAGGAAGAAGGGGAAGTCCAGTATACCTCCTTGTTTTGAGCTTCTCTATTTCTTGTTTCTAAAGCACAAGAATTGAAGTCTGGGTGTATTCGCAGCAGAGTTCGGGTGCCTGCATGAGGCTAGAAACAGACGAGTGGCTGCTTGGGAAGCCCCAGCTTTCCACCCTCAACCCATCTTCCTGTCTGCTGAATGAAACCAATACATTCCTCCAGATGGTGTCTTTAATGTCTTTAAAGATCTTAGATATGTTCAATCAACTCCATTTATAGGATAAAATCCAAACTCTTCACTACGGTGTTCCAGATTCCCCACAAAGGGATATTTTCAAG